TTTCCACTTTATTATCGCTTTTTGGCCCACATGTGATAACGTCCTAAGAAAACCACATCTTCTGTTTTGTCTGTGTAAAGCAGGGGTAGGCAACCTTTCCCCTTTAAGAGCCGAGAGACTTCAGCTCCCAGAAGCCTCAGCCATGTTGGCCAATAGTCCCATGTTGGCCAATAGCTCCTGGGATTCTGGGAGCTGAAGTCCCTCGGCCCTTAAAGGGAAAAGGTTGCCTACCCCTGGAGGGGTATAGGCCTTGAATGATGTGCTGTATTGTCTGTTTGTTGTTGTTTTTAATGGCTATATTTTGAACTAATTTTGATTGTATTAATAGTTTAATTACGGTACATTTTTAACTTTGATATGAGCTAGTGTGGTGGCACTGGACTATGACTCTGAAGATCAGGGTTCAGTTCCCTGTTCATCCAAGGAAACCCACTGGGGAGCCTTGAGTGAGTCACACACTCTCCACAACAGAAAAGTCCATTATAGGTTTGCCTTAGGGTCACCATAAGTCAGAAATGGGTCAGTTAGGGTCGTGGCAAGGCCACCACAGGCGAGAGGCTTCTCGGTCACTGCTCGACCAGCTGCTTGGTCACTGCTCCCAAGGTGACGGGGTGCAAAGGGAGAAGCTTTTCTCCAGCAAGGAAGGACTTTCTATCCTTCTTCGCCAGGACGGACATGACTACCCCACACAGCTTCAAGTGGACCCCCACTCCCCCCCCCCTTCTCTCAGCCTGTCTGATGAAAGAAAACACACAGCAGCGCAGCTCCAACCTGCCAGCCAAGTCCCAGCAAAAGTCACAAAGCTTAAGCAAGGTTCAAAATGTGAAAGCTTTTTGCTGGTGCTTCTCCCTTGCCACCACACGCTCTAACTTCTCGCTCCATTCCATCTGCCCCAAAATGGCATCACAGGAGTGAGTTTATGTGGGAAGGCAAAGAATGGGAGACACCACCATACGAAGCGATCAATGAAGCTGCACGGTGGTTTTAAGGGACCCTGAAAAGAGGTTTCATGCAACTTCATCCCCGCCATAGTCCTAAAGGCTGCTGGATCCCCTTGTCTTTCTTGCACTCCAATACTTTGACTGAAGCCCCCCACTACTGCCCTCTTTTCTCACAATGCCCCCTTGGGTCTTTCCACACACATCCCAGGGAGGCAGTATCGTCCACTTTGGGAATCCCTGTCCTTGGGGGAAAAAAGGTCCAAACTGGAAACAATTTTTGGTGTTTATATAAGATGAAAAACTAGATGTTTACTATGTCTTCAATGGCATGCAGAGAAGTAATCATCAATGCCTAGTGTTTATAAAGAGATGAATGTTCAAAGCATTTCACATATATAATCTTAATAATTCTTGTAGCAGTGGTAGCCTGAAATATAGATCAGTGTTATATTATTGTTTTCATAAAACAGAGTGAGGGGCTGAAGTTGAGAGAGTTATGACCTGTTTGTTGCTAGTTGACAAATTAATGTCTGAAATGTGATTTGAGCTGGAAATACTGCAGCTTACCACCTTAGCCACTGCACTACTAAAAACAGCTTAACTTGTTTGGAGGTTTGAGGTATAAGTCATATAGAAGCAATTAGGAGGGATGTTGTTGTGCACCTTCAAGTCCTTTCCAACTTTTGTTGACACTAAGGCATACCTATCATGTGGTTTTCCTGGCAAGTTTATTCAGAGGAGTTTTGCCATTGCCATTTCCTGAGGCTGAGAGAGTGTGATTTGTCCAAAGTCACTTAATGGGTTTACATAGCCGGGTGGGAATTTGAACCCTGGTCTCCAGAGTCATAGTCCAATGCTCAAACCACTACACCATGCTGGCTCTCCATTATTATTTGCATATACCTTATGTACAGAAGTGTGTGTGTGGCTGTGTGTTGCGTGCCTTCAAATCATTTGTGACTTGTGGTGACCCAAAGGTAAACCTAACAGTTTTTCTTGGCAAGGTTTGTTTAGAAATTTCATCGCCTTTGAGGCTGAGAGTATGTGACTTGCCCAAGATCAACCAGTAAGTTTTCATGGTAAAACAGGGATTTGAACCTTGGATATTCAGAGTCTTAGTCCAACACTCAAACCACTACCTCACACTGGCTCGACAGATCATATTCAAGTATATCCTAGATTTTTTTTTCTCTGTTCTGTTCTGTAGAAAGGAATGAATTTTCTCCACTATAATAGGTGGACCAATCCTTTCCCCAACCAGATGGTTAGAATTATTCACAACTTTCAAAAGCCAAGTTGAATCCCATTTTGGGAGAAAGGTGGGATATAAATCAAATAAATAATAAATAAATGTGAACAAACAGTCCAGAAGAAGGGCATTGTACAATTCTTCAAAATGGGTCAGTGTTCAAGTGGGGGTTGGAACTTTTGAGTTGTTGACCTGAAACTCAGAAAAATTTTCCTTAGTAGTAACCATAACAAATAAATGCCTGTTACACAAGTGCTGAGACTCCAAAGTTCAAGGGAATTAATAACCTTTAGACCCTGTTCTATGATTTAAAAAAAAGTACACCTGGCTAAGGAAGTAATGTAAAAGAAGAGCAATCATGAGAGTGAGATTATGACACAGAAGAACAAAAATATACAACAGTACAGAAGTAATGGCTCTGGAGAGAATTGGTTTTGCCACCCTGGAATTTTGTAACAAAAAGGTGTGTTAAAAATATTTTTAATGAAGAAAGCAAGATTCAAGGCAACTTCAGATTTAAACAGGAGCTGTCTATTGCCAACCAAAAGACTTGAGTACAAACAGGCAAGGACTTTCCTAACAGTTACTTGTCATTCCTTATTCAGGCAAATCACACAACATACTAAGCGATATCCATTTTTCTTTATCACTATAATATTTACTGCTTTTTGTCTGTTAAGATGCACTCTTTTCCACTTGGTATTTTAAAAACATAGTGCCTCACTTCTTATAGTGTGAATCTGCATCACTGTGCCTGTATAGATTTAAATATATTTGATATGGTTTTCTAAAGAGCAAATGGAAGAAGAGATCGTACATGGCAAGAAACAATTTTCCATGAGTAAATATGGGCAAGATCTTTATAGCGGATCCTGTATGACCCTGATGAAGACCAAAGGTATTTTCACACTACACAATTACAGCATTATATTTCCACTTTAATTGCCATGGCTGAATTTTATGGAATCCTGGGATTTGTAATCTGATTAGACTACATCAGAACTCTTTGGCTGAGTTCTAATTTTGCATTATTGTTGTGTGCCTTCAAATTGATTCTGACTTATGGTGACCCTATCATGAGATTTTTGTTCAGAAGGGGCTTGCTTTGCCTTCCTCTGAGGGTTTCCATTACTGAGCAGAGATTTGAAACCTGGTTTCCAGAGTTGTAGTCCGATGCTCAGACCATTACACCATGTTGACTCTCAGTTTTCTGCATGCCCCTCCCTAACCTGCAAATCCCAGGATTCCATAGGATGTTGCCATGTTAAAGAAGAATCATAGCACACAGTCCTGTGAAAGAGTCACTTCTCTTAACCCTGAAAAAAACTAGTGTCAACTTTCACTAGTGCTGCATCTGCACTGCAGAAATCAGGCAGCTTGACACCACTTTAAATGCTGAGGTTCAGTTCTATGGAATCTTGGGATGTGTAGTTTGTTGTGACACCTGAGCTGTCTGGTAGAGAAAGCTTACTATCTTACAAAAAATACAAATCCCAGGATTCCACAGCATTGAGGCATGACAGTTAAAGGGGTGTCCAATGGCAATTTTGCTGCAATGCCTACTATGGGCCTTTGCAGACTGCTATATATAGTGCAAACTGAGTCCACTTTAAGGGTTAGGGTTGGGGTTAGGGAATCATGGGAACTGTATTTTATTGTGGCACCAGAGCTCTCTGACAGAGAAAGTTCAATGTTTCAGGGGGAAAAAAGAATTCCCATGATTCCCTAGCACTAACCCTAACCCTTAAGAGTGGACTCAATTTGCACTATTTCTGGCAGTCTGCAAAGACCCTTTCTTAAGATGATGGCTGGTCTAGGTTGGGGGGAGGCAGACTTCAGGTTTGCAAGATCTTCTTTTTGTTTTTACTAGAGCTCTGAGGCCCATCAGACTGGTGCTCAGGATAACTGTATATATGAAAACGACAGAATAGATTGCCTCTGAACATATGCTCAACCTGTCCCAGTGATCAATAACCAGAATGAAGCTTACAGAAACTCACACAGAGGACTAGGTTGCTGCTGCTGTTAGAAATCTAGCAGTGAGAAATCCTAGCCATTCTACTGGAAATGACCCATATGTTAATCAGCAGAGCCTGATGAACCCTTGGTCCAGCCTTTCTCTAAAATTGGGAGTTTGGGGGATCCCTTCCTGGCTGGGCTCAACCTAGAGGTTCTAGCAATACTGAATAAATCAGTAGTTTTCAACCCTTCATCGTCCAGATGTTTTGGACTTCAGCTCTCAAAAGCAACAGTCAGAATGATAAATAGATATTCTGGGAGTTGAGGTCCTAGTCATCTGGAGAGCCAAAGGTTGAGCAGCATTGGTATAAATAAATGTCTATATATATTAGATAGTAAACATATTACTGTAACATAATGGCTATTTGTACTCTGTCTCTCCAAGATATCAGGTGAGTATATTTTGGAATCTGGAATTGTTGTAAGTGGGAATACCAAGGATTTATTGCATACAGGGTATATGTCATAGCTCTTCCCAAAGTTACAAATCCAGGGGGAGGACAGGATTTTCATCATAACCCCAAGGGTAGCCATGTATCTTTCCTATTATCTAGAAGCATACTTTGGGGAAGTGTTATTTCACAAATAATAAGTTTGTTTCTCCTATTGCATAATTGGTTTGTTTTCAATAGTCTCAATAGAGAAATTTCATAGCTTCTATTTGTAATTTTGATTGGAAATGTCAACCTCCAACAAACTAACAACAAAACAAGCCCTCTGTTTAGCACCTTCTGTTGCTTTGCTTCTGTCCAAGCAAATAAGGATTTCGTTTTCAAGATTTGCACCCACACAAACACACTAACAGAATGCATACGGCTCTTCGTTCTGACCTTTCCCTGTCTTTGTCACCTTGGTTTTAAATAAAAGGTGTTTCTTTAAAAAAAAATACTAACAGTTCTACATGGATGCCTTTGAAGTAATAAAGATCCAAACCAAAGAACTCTAAAAATAAATGATAGGTGTGAGTTGAAGTAATAAAGACAAATGAGATTAAAAATCAGAAAATTGCAAATTAGCAATGTGGAACTTCATTACTGATCTAGGGGAATCAAGGAATATAGGAAGTGGGTAAAGAGAGTTTTAAAAGATATTTCTGTTGAAGATGTAGAAATCATAAGAGATCCTTGTATACTTCTAAACTTGCAGCGTTTGGCTGTTCATAATCACAAATCAAATCTTTCTTCCCAGATGGTTATTTCTGGTTTATTTCTTCTCCCCCTCTGTAAATTTGAATGCCATGGTTTTATATGGACTATATATACAGGAAGTCTCTAGATGTCTTTAATACAGGTAAGTTTTGAACTACCATTCCTTCTCGTTTCAAATGCATAAACTTAGCATCCATCCATGCAAAAGTCCTGTGAAGGAAGTCAAGGGACCAATCTTGGCATATTGGCACCTTGTCTGCCTAGCTGTATGCATACTCATTCCTTGATTTTTCATGTTAATTATTTCTATAGAACAAAATGAAAAGACTACATCATTCATTTGTTCCAGTGTTATGCTCATTTAAGTCTTT